CCCAGGGATGTGCAGGTTAGGGTGGATTGGCCGTGCTAAATTGTCCCATAGTGCCCAGGGATGTGCAGGTTAGGGTGGATTGGCTGTGCTAAAGTACACCATAGTAACCAAGGATGTGCAGGTTAGGGTGGATTGGCTGTGGGAAATGCAGGGTTACAGGGATAGGGTAGGGGCCTGTTTCTGGGTGGGATGCTTTTTGGAGGGTCAGTGCAGAGTTGATGGACTGAATGGCCTCTTTCTACACTGTAAGGATCTCAATGATTCGACATGTGTTCACGACTCAGATCAGCTGGTGTTAACTGACGTTGGTTGAACAGCAGGCCTTGGCCCAGGACACCAGTGATAGTGGGCAGGGAGGGGAGCCCTGTTACATCCACTGTGGCTTTACAAGGTGTATTTTGACCTGGGATTCTTTTTATGAAGAATGGTTGTGACAAAGGTACTGGGCAAACTTGTGCAAAGCTTGTGAGGCTTTGGGGAATTTTTTTTAAGTTTGAACAACAGAAGCAGCCCGAATGGGTCAAGCCATGATGTTTAGTTTTAGTTTTTCCGTATCAGTTGCTGGGATCCTGAAGCTGGGTTTGGAAGCTGCAGTACATCTCTTCCTGCTATTTCTCTCTCTCTCTCTCAGAGATTTGTCTTGTTGTTCTTTCCTCCTGGGCTGGATTTTTGCCTGTGAGACAACCTATTTTACTGAATTTGCCTTTGACAAGGGTGTGTTTATGGGATGTTACTATATTGTAACAGTTACTGCTTAGTCGTAAAATAACCTATTATTCTGTTAAGTTTTCTAATAGAGTTCGGTTATACCAATTTCTTCTTTCTTGTGTTATATTTTAACTATAGTGCAGTTGCAGATAGTGAGGGCAGTGAAGAAGGTGTTTGGTACGCTTGCCTTTTTTGGTCTGTGCATTCAGGAGTTGAGAGGTCATATTGCAGATGTACACAACATTGATTAGGCCACTTTTGGAATACTGTGTGCAATTTGGTCACGCTGCTTTAGAAATGATGTTGTTAAATTTGAAAGGGATCAGAAATGATTTACAAGGATGTTGCTGGGGTTGGAGGATTTGAGCTAT